GAGATAAACCCCGACTGCTCTTTAAAAGGCCAGATCCTGAAGTTGAAACTCAAATACTTTGGCCACCTAATGGGAAGGAAGGACTCACTGGAGAAGAACCTGATGCTGGGAAAGATTGAGGGCAAGAGAAGAAAGAGACGACAGAGAATGAGGTGGCTGGATGGAGTCACTGAAGCAGGAGGCGTGACCTTCAATGGACTGCAGAAGATGGTAGAGGACGGGAAGGCCTGGAGGAACGTTGTCCATGGGGTCACGATGGATCAAACATGACTTTGCAACTAACAACAATTGTTTTTCTGCAAAGAAGAAACAGCATGCATCTCCTGGAATCTCCTCCTCAAGCCATCTCCCCAAAGAATTCACCAGAGAGGTGCTGGCAATATCTCAGTCTCACTCTAGAAGCGCACAGAGGCATCTGCACCTTCCCACAATTTCCATCGGGGAAGATTTCAAGAGTCTGTCCTTCGCTTGCAGAAATACGAATGAGGCCTGGCATCAAAAGGCAGAACTGCTCTGGCACGATGTAAGGACTGCGAAGTAGCACATCCTAGTATGCTCAGGAACACCACTGTCTACACAGAAGAAGCTACAGGACTGGGGCAGGGGTGTTGACTTGCCCCAAGCAGCCCTACAAGCGGAGACATCTTCAAGTGATCGTTCCCCATCTCGGTGGCTGGATTTGGTTAGTTACTCTTGGGATGTAGGAAAAGGACAGACTGAACTAGGGGTGGAGTCAAGAGAGGAACCAGCCTAGACTCCTTACGTTTCTGCAAATGGTCCAAGTCGAACTCTTCTTGATTTCCATTGATTCACATCTAGCGCCAATTTAGTGCTGCCCATTTGATGACTAGATTCGCAGATACACATAAGCAATAAATCAGCGTCACTGAAACTTAGTCTGGGGTCCTGATTCTTCGCACTTGACACGGGATCAGGCAGTCTGCTTGCGTTTGTGTTTCTTGCCAGGCTGCCCTTAGTAACCTCAGTGGCTTCTCAAAGTCCCACTCAGAGAGTCAAGAGGGGGTCTGCAAATGGAGCGTCTGGTCGCTTCTAGGCCCCTCTCTCTGGGTGTCCTGGCTGCAGCGTCCACTTGGCATGCAGTGGGTCAAGAACACCCCTCTGAGGCTGTGCTCTTTCCAGAAGCTTCCATGGACCTTTGCTGCGCCTTCCTTCTCTTTTGGAGATGGATTGACATCTTCAATTGGTGTGCAGAAAACCAGCGAAGTGATTCAGGGGGGCTAATCCTCTGGGGAGGGAATGTTCGGCTGCCACCACGCTGCCCAAGACTCTGCCTATGCTTTGGAAATTGAGGGGTGGGTGTGCATCCCTCCTGCTTTAACCCCCCTCCCCCATTTGTCACCTTCTAGGCAGGCAGATAGATGGCTTTGTAGCTCCCTTCCCAGCTAAGGCAGAAGGTGGAATATCTTCCTGTCTTTTTCTGCATACTTGCGGCTGGTGATTCAGCACTGCTTCCTGCTTTTGGCAGTGGCTTCCTCCATGCAAGAGCAACAAAGTGTTTTTTTCTTCCTGACTAACTTCCCAAGTGCTTCCGGCTGCACCTGGAACAGGAGAGCAGCTTCTGCCGGTTTACACACCACACTCCCCACCCCAGTCCTGGCACCACCACCATCCTGTCAAGCTCTTCTGAACCTCCTCCCCCCCTCTAGGCATGCTTTTTTCTCCCCTCCTTGTTCTTCCCAGGGTAGGAATGCAGGTGAAACCAGAGTCAGACTGGAGATACCCACCCAGGAAACACACAGGCCTGGAGTTCAGCTCTGACTCAGCTGGGAAAGGGTTTCCAGCCAGCAGAAGTCCTCTCCCTGTGCCAGAGAAAGCACACAGTGTCCCAGGGAGAGACGCACAATTCTGCAGAGAAGAGTTCGCCCAATATCCAGAAGAGCCACCAATTTGGGGGTGGGGGTGGGAAGTCAGCCCCCCCCAGAGAAGGAAATATTAAAAGGGCAGAAAAATATATTTCCTCAAAGGATCTTAAAGAGACAGAAAAGCACGCCCAGTTTTTCCTAATAGCCCCAGGTCTCCCTCCCCCAAGCAGAAACCAGCTCTGTAGAAATGCAGATGGAGGCCCCAGCTAGAAGATCAAGAAGACAAAGACACCTAAACTCTATATACCCCACCCAAACTCTAAGACAGAACATAATAGGATTAACACACAGATACCAAAGGGGCACACTCAGACTCAGGTCAAAGTTCATGCCACAGGAAGCAACCAAACAAAAGGCTCCAGAGGGTATAAAAACCCACTCCCTACATGTGCTCAGCCCTTCTTTTTCTCTCTTTGCTGCCAGAGCCATCTTTCTGTCTGGCTCTCCTCTTCAATAAACTGCAACCTTCTTTCTAAAGCAGTCACCATGTTGTTTATCCCCGGCTTGGACTGAACCCTGATGAAGATTTTTCTTCCAACAGAAGCAAGACAGAGCTTCTGGGCCACCCCATCTACAATGCCAAGTTAGGCCTGGGGAGAAGCAGCTCCAAGCTGGGGAAGGGGGTTGTGGGAAAAGAACAGGGGGGGGGAAACTGTCACTTACAGACCAGAGAGGGAAGCTGTGGGGAGAAGAAGCAAAGTGTAGGGCAAAGATGGGCCTTTGGGTGCTGGGAAAGTAGGTTACGACTATTATTTAGTTCAAATCTCAAAAAATACCCTGAATGACAATCAAAGCAGGGAAGTCTGTTGGTTTCAGGCCATGGAGAGCAACCTTGTGCTCAGCACAGGATCCCCAATCAAAGGATCCCAGATAGGGATCTATCAGGAGACCTGCTGAGCACGGTCCAAAAAAACTCAAGGAGACATGTGCAGCAACACAATCAGAGTTCTGTCTGCTTTTTAAGCTTTACGTTCATTGCAGGTACAGCTTCACACGGACACACTGACACACACGTGCACACATGCACACAGACACAGACTTGAACAATGGGCCCTATGCAACAAAATGAAATTTAACGCAGAGAAAAGCCCGATTTTACATCTAGACAGGAAAACCAAAAACAGAAATACAAATCAGGCAAAACCTGGCTTAAAAACAGCCACCGGGAGAGGGACCTTGGAGTCCCAGTGGGCGATTAATTAAACACGAGCCAGCCGTGTGCAGCAGCAGACAAAAAGGCTAACACAATCTTGGGTTGTATAAACAGAGGCGTAGAATCAAGATCACGTGAAGTTATTAGTACCGCTTTATAAAACCTTAGTAAGGCCACACCTGGAAAGACACTGAGAGTTTGGAAAAAGTGCAGAGAAGTGCAACTTCTGGCCCCCTCGCTTTACGATGCATCACTTAGTGACGGAAAATCCAGTCCCAATTCCCATCATACATTGAGGACGATCTGCAACTAAATAACTAAATAATAACAACTAACTAATAAAGCACTGATGATGTTCCCTAGTTTGGGTCTGCAAGAAAACAACTAATCAGAACAGCATTGAAGTAAGCAAGACCCCGATCAAGAAACTGCCAACAGCCCAAGCAAAGAATCTCTAAGATCAGCCCCAATGACACCCACAGGGCAAGAGGCCAGGATATAAACTGGCAGTAAAACCGCACTCCTTACTAGCACTATGATGTTCCCTAGTTGGGTCATGAAACGTCTGCAAGGAAACAAGCCAGCCCAGAGAGCATCAGAGACCCCCACAGTCCTTCCTCCTCCTCCTCCTCCTCCTCCTCCTCCTCCTCCTCCTCCTCCTTCCTACAAACCTCACTCCATTCTACCACTAGCGATGTTCCCTAGTGGGCTCATGAAAAGTCTGCAACAAGGCAACCAAGTTCAGAGAGCACCAAGGACCCCACAGTTATTGTCCTCCTCCTCCTCTTCCTCCTCCTCCTCCTCTCTTCCTCCTCCTCCTCCTCCCCCTACTACCTTTCCACAACCCTCTATCCCTTCTAGCACTGATGATGTTCCCTAGTTGGGTCATGAAACGTCTGCAAGGAAACAAGCCAGCCAGAGTGCACCAAGGACCCTACAGTCCTTCCTCCTCCTCCTCCTCCTCCTCCTCCTCCTCCTCCTCCTCCTCCCCCCCCTCCTCCCCCCCTCCTCCTCCTCTCCACAAACCTCTATCCCTTCTAACACTGATGGTGTTACCTAATTGAGCAATGAAATATCTGAAAAAAAACCAGTAAGCTCAGAGAGCACCTAGGACTCTTCATAACAACAACTAAAGTCAGGTTAGTTTTTGAAAACCTCAGAACTTACCAATATTGTAGCTGAGATGTTTCCTCCCCCCCCTTTTATCGAATGCCAGTTCTGCCACCCACAATGAGCCCAGCCTCAGAGAATGTCCCCACCCCGACATTAAGTACAAATGCCCATCAAGGCATCCCTTGAAGGGGTCCTCTTGACCCCTCCTGGCCCTCAAGTCACAAAGCTCTGCTTCAGGGGAGAAGCTCTCTAAGGGATCCAGGTGGTCCCTTTTGCTCCTCTTTTTGTTGAAACTCCCAACGAAGCCACTCAGAACCAGCTGCTCAGAAGAAGATCCCAAGAAGACAGCTCCCCCCATGGACCTTCTAGCTGGCCAATTTTTGGAGAAGGCCTTTGGGAGCAGGCCCTGCCTAGAAGGCCTTGGAGACCGACCGATTCAAGAGATCAAGAGCTCCTGGCCTCAGGATAGCAATCAGCAAACCCAGCATCTTGGAGATGCCGTTAAGGAGAGAAATATGGGAGGAGGAGAAGTGGATCCATGAGCCACAGCATCTCCACGGGGGCTGCCCAGGGCGCTTTCTAAGTTGGCATGGTGGAGAGGGCGCAGCCACCAGGATGTCCTCCTCCAGATCGGCGCAAGGCTCCCCTTCCTCCCCAGATCACCTCCCTGCGGTCACGTCTGTGGCGCTTTTCTGTGCTGCCAGGTGAGCACGTGTATGTCTTAACGCATCGCACACATTCAGGTCGATTGCCAGCCTGTGATTCAGCGTTTTGCGCAAAGCTAGGAGAGGGCTGATTTAGTAACCCGAGTTGATCAGCAGCTGGAACCGGCAAGAACCCTTTGGGAATACCGTCTGGGATCTGGCAGGAAGTCCCACATCCTGTCGGGCAGCACTTCTGGTTCCCCTTGCAACTGGCATCCGACTGGCACTCCTCCGTGCAGTTCCCATTGGGCGTCTCCAACTCTGCCTGGGGACAGATGCCAGCTTTCTCTGCAGCCGCTAGAAAAGACCCAGCAAAGAGGTTGAGCCATGGGTGCCGCTTGGCCACTTGCAGGGCTGGGGGGGGGATCCCCCCCACTGCTGCCACCCAGATGCCCCCAGAAGAGGGGCTGGAGTGGGGGAGGGCCCTCTGTTTACCCAGGTGCCCCATGGAACCCCTCCCGTCCACCCCTCCCAGCCCTGAAGGAGGCAGGGCTGTGCCCGGCCTGCTCTGGGGGGCTGGAGGCCTCCTTCTCCCTTCTCCTGGGGAGGCTGGACAGGGCCAGCCCTTCCACCCACCTGTGGTGTTCTGTCTAGCCGTGTCAGGCTCCTGAGCACAGGTCACGAGGAGGCCCACCAGGGAGAAGAGGAGGAGGGGGCAGCTGCCTCTCCTGGGCGTCATGGTGGTTGTGCCTGAAGGAAGCTGTGGGATCCGGCCTGCCTCAGGCCAAGCTTTAAGCTCTCCCAGGTGTGGCTGGCAGAGGGGAAGGGAGGGCAGAGGGGAGGGGAAGGAGAAGACGGGCACCTGGGTGAGCAAGCGATTCTCAGCTCTTGCACAATCGCAAGGAATCAGATGTCACGGCTGGTCTCCCCCCCCCATGCAAACCAGGAAGCTGCCAGCTCAGTAAGCAGACTGGAACTGACCAGCTGACGAGGCGATTCGGACGTGCCAGGAGAGACCACTCCACCTACTGGGGCTCCTCAGCCTTTGTGAACCCTTCAACCTTCTGGCATGTGCCATGCTCACTCCGGCCGGGGCTTTCCAAAGGAGAAGCAGGAGGCTGGTCAATGCCTGGGATGGCCCTGGCCTGTGATGCGATGAAACTGGGCAGAGCTTTGGTGAGGCGCTGTGGCCACCTCACAGCTCTAAGGAGTTCCCCGTGACTTCTGATGGATGGCTGCTGGCAGTGGATGCTGGCAGTTTCCTGTAATGAGCTCTTGGGTGAGGCACCTCCGAGAGGCCGGTGAGATAGCAGGAAAAACGGGCCAGGAGGATGAAAGATTGCTCTTGGGGTCCACACAATGGAGAACGTGTCCACGAGGTCTCTCATTGTACTGGGGTGCACCTGAAAGGCAGGAGGACGTATGTATGGAGGTCTCATTTTGCAGGCTCAGGAAGACCTTCATTGAGGAACAGGTTGGGCCAGCGAAGAGCGGAGAAGATCTTCACTCCATCTAATCTTGGTCCTTTCTGGTTCAGCAAGGAGACCAACACTTAGAAGGTTTTTCAAGATGGCTTGGAAGGACCATGATGATCTTCTTACGGTTGAGACACCAGAACGAGATGGGATGCTGGATTCCCTTTTGCTGGTGTGCTTTCCAGAAGCCCCTGGAGATACAATGAGGAGCACAGCAAGGGAAGGTCTCCGTGCAGGAAAGGAGCTTTGAGCTGGACCCAACCACAGACATCATCAGGTTTCGTCATGATTTAGCCATCTTCTCGTTTTGCATCCAGAAATCAAGGCTGGGGAGGTTTTTGCTTTCTGTGACATCTGGATCCTTTGGCATATACCCCAGATGCTGAAAAGAGATCACTTGAAGAGTTGAAGAACCAGCTGGGTGAGTCCTGTTCTTCCTTCTCACCTACAAGTGAGTTGGTGAAGGTGACCAGGATGAAAGGAAACCCTGAAAGACAGGCTGACTCTTGGTCTGCAGAAAATCTGAGATGGGTGCTCGGAAGGAAGTTCTTCTCTTAGCCACAGTCTGTGATCTTGGACATCCAGGTGGTGGGAACAGCCAGGTAGACAATTGTCTTGGCACAATTGTGTAGTGGCTGCTGACGTTCACAGATCCGGCAAAAATTAGTGGTGACCAGACGAGTGCAGCATCCTTTACAGGCATAAAGAGGGTAACAGCTCACACATTCCATGTTTACTGAATAACAGAACAACAGAGTTTGAAGGGGGCCTTGGAGGTCACCTAGTCAATCCCCCTGCTCAGGCAGGAAACCCTATATCATTTCAGACAAATGGCTGTCCAGTCTCTTCCTAAAAACTTCCAGTGTTGGGGCATTCACAACTTCTGGAGGTAGGTTGTTCCACTGGCTAATTGTTCTCACTGTCAGGAAGTTTCTCCTTAGTTCCCGGTTGCTTCTCTCCTTGATTAGTTTCCATCTGTTGCTCCTTGTCCTGCCTTCAGGCGCTTTGGAGAATAGCTTGACTTCCTCTTCTTTGGGGCAGCCCCTGAGATACTGGAAGGCTGCTATCATGTCCCCCCTCGTCCTTCTCTTCATTAAACTGGATATACCCAATTCCAGCAACCGTTCCTTGTATGTTTTAGCCTCCGGTCCCCTGATCATCTTTGTTGCTCTTCTCTGCACTCTTTCCAGAGTCTCAGCATCTTTTTTATATTGTGGTGACCAAAACTGGACACAGGATTCCAGGTGTGGCCTCACCAAGGCCTTAGAAAGAGGTACTAGCACTTCACGTGATCTTGATTTTATCCCTCCCTTAAGGCAGCCTAGGGCTGCGATGCCACGGTCTCTCTTGGTGGATGCCACCAATGGCTGCCCACCTTGGATGCCAGCAGCAGTCCAGGCTGGGTGGTCTGGGGCACCCACTTGGCCTGTCTAAAGACAGAAGCGATTGGTGGAACTACAGCTGACCAGCTTTCTTTGCTTTCAGGAATGGCATTGTTTAAAATGCGTCCCTTTTTCATTGTTTATTATTTTATGTCTGGATGGCTATGATTATTTTATTGGATTACCTTTGTTTGTTTAGCATCGTAGTTATGATGGCACCAAAGTAAGCAACCTAGGGCTGGTCCTCGCCTGGAAGACGGTTGCAACATCCTTGCGGTCACCTGAGCATTTTTAGGACGGATGCGGCATCCTGGGGTCACAGGCCAGGGCCACTTGTAGCTTTCCCAGCCAAGTCAGCGGGAGAATTAAAAACCGCCTGATATCATAAAATATCATAAAACTGGGAGAAACTCAACTGCCTCATTGCTTAGCCACAGAAATTCCAGCCTCAATTGTGATAATAAGTCAAGGGCGATTTGTATCCGCTATATTTTAAACTGTGATTTTTTTAAAAAAAATCTTTTGTCTTGTTCTTTCTTATGCTAGTGGTCCTTGACTTAACAATCATTTGTTTAGTGACCGTTTAACGTTACAACAGAGCTGGAAAAAAGGGGGACTTATGCCCACTTTTTACACTGATAACCGTTGCAGCGTCTCCAGGGTCATGTGATCTAACTTCAGATGTTCGGCAATGGCATGTACCTGTGGCAGTTGCAAAGTCTTGGGGGTCACGTGATCCCCTTTTGCCACTTTCCGACAAGCAAACTCAAAGGGGGAGCACGGTTCACTTAACAGCTGAGTTACTAATTTAAGAGCTACAGCGATTCACTTGTAGCAAGAAATGTCGTAAAATATGACAAAGCTCACAACAACTGTCTTACTTAGCAACGGAAATTTTGAGCTCCACTGTGGTCGTAAGCCATGGACTCCCTGTACTTGGTATTATTTTTTGTAGTTTTCAATATTTTTTTACACTTGTGCTGTTTGGCAGAAAAGCAGGATCCCACTCCCCTAAAGCCCCCTCCTTCGGGATGCAGAAAGGGGGTGGATGGGGGGGTCCCTCTGCATGTTACTCTGGGGAGGCCTCCCAGCCCCACAGAGAAGTGGGGAAGAAGCAGCCTGGAGAAGCTAAGCCAAGGCTTGGGGTGGTGCACTTCCCATGGGGCTGATCCTGCCTGACATTGGGTTCTTTGCTCTGCCGGCCTCAGCAACATCTGGCAGCTTCAAGTGCCCCAATGGTCCAGCCCTGAGACCAGCTTTCCTGGTTAAAGGGTGGTGTGCACGTGCGTCTTTGCAGGTGCAGGTGGCTCCATTCTGGCCCTGGGTAAAGAGACAAGAGCCCCCTCTGCCCCCAAGACAGGGGCTCCTCAGAGGTCGACACCTGCACTCGCTGTGGCTTGGCCACTCCTGCAGGTGTGTGAGAGGCCGCCTGGCAGCCTTGGAGATGCCTTGCGGCCTTGTAAATCTTGGGAGTCAACAATGTGGCAAGCTCTGAATGTGCACACACAGCCACTCTGTTTGTACAGTTCCATGCCAGGCCAGAAGCTGTTTTACGCAACTCTCCCAGCCCAGTCTGGGGGGGAGGCTGGACAGAAAAGGATGGGTCCCAGAGGCTGCATTGAGAGGCCCACCGAAGCCCCCTCGAAAGAACCGTGTTCTCGACCAGTGAACCTCTCCGACTGAGGTCAATAAAGTCAAGATGGCGACCGCACGATCAAAGCTCTGCCTGTTTTCTGGGTGTGCCAATTGTGCCACGATGCAGATAAAACAAAGCAGACCCGATTGCACTGGCACCATCTTGCCTTTTTTGACCACCCTGGGTGGATGCCCGGCTCCTGCGTTTCCCAGGCATAGCTTGGGGCTGCCCCCTCCCCTTCTCTGTCACTCAGAGCCATGGTGGCGCAGTGGTCAAAGTGCCGTACTGCAGGCTAATTCTGCTGACTGCCAGCTGCCTGCAGTTCGGCAGTTCGGCAGTTCGATCCTGACCGTCTCAAGGTTGACTCCGCCTTCCACAGGCTGGTAAAATGAGGACCCAGATTGTTGGGGGTGCAGGTTGCTGACTCTGTAAATCACTTAGCACTGTGAAGCAGTAGATAAGTCTCGGTGCTATTTGTCGATGGAGATTCTCCACCCTCCAGGTCCTGGTTGTCCCAAAAGTGCATTTTTCAAGAAGCAACTGGACTTTCTTTGTTTCTCCTTGAAGATGTTTCACTTCTCCTCCAAGAAGCTTCTTCAGTTCTGCCTGAACGGTGGAGGATGGAAGGATTTATACTCCTTGCAGTCATCTGGTTGTTAGTACTCTCTCTGAGAATCGTTGAGGCCAGAGCTGAAGAAACTTCTTGGAGGAGAAGCGAAACGTCTTCAAGGAAAAAACAGGACAGTCCAGTTGCCCCTTGCAAAAGCACCCTTGGGACATCTAGTGCAACTGCTCTTTCTCACTGAGAGGGTCCTTCATGTGAGAAGAATGAAATCCCCTCCCCAACTGTGGCATCCAATGAAGATTAAGAGCTTCCTGGGTGCGAATTTGGCTCTTTGGTTTAAAATACGCTGCTGAGATCCTTGTCTGATTGCAGCAGGAATACTTCGGATGAATCAAGCAACCCAGATGGCACCTGGATTGTTTGTTCCTTCAGAAATGGACCAGGGTTGGCCTTGGATGAGACACCACCAGGAAATCCTACGGCGGTAGATCAGATGAAGAAGTTGAACAAATATCCCAAAAGAAAGCAGAGCCAGACCACTTCCATCCTCTTTCCTTCTTCCTGCCTTGAGCAGGGGGCTGGACTAGAAGACCTCCAAGGTCCCTTCCAGACGTAGAATTCTTTTCTTTTCTTTTCTTTTCTTTTCTTTCTTTCTTTCTTTCTTTCTTTCTTTCTTTCTTTCTTTCTTTCTTTCTTTCTTTCTTTCTTTCTCTCTCCTTCCTTCCTTCCTTCCTTCCTTCCTTCCTTCCTTCCTTCCTTCCTTCCTTCCTTCCTTCCTTCCTTCCTTCCTTT